GGGTTGCACCAATTCCGCACTTTGGGGAAGCAAGTCACCCAAAGTCTTCGCCAGGATGATGCAGAATTTTTCCGACACTTGGCTAGTGAAGCCTCTGACTTCATGCAACCACATCAAGTCCGTGATTTCTGGCGTGTGCTGCGGCGAAGTCTGCCCAGGTTCCGAGATCGCAAACTGGGACATGACCCTAACAAGCTTGAGATCCTGCAAGAACAATGGGTGCCATATTTTGAGCAATTGGAAAGCGGTACGGCATGCGACTCTCAGCAAATCGTGCAACGATGTCATGCACGACAGATGGCGATGCCAGTCATCCAAGATTGCTTCCGGCCTGATGATATCCCCTCTATCATTGAATTTGAGGATGCGTTGCGGACCACACAGGCTGAACGTGCCACAGGCCTGGACCCAATCCCATCAGGCGTGTTCCGCCAAAATGCCACCCAACTTGCAACAATTTATTTCCCATTACTGCTCAAGATTTGCATGTGGCAGCATGAACCAGTCACCTCCAAGGGAGGACAGATGGCAGTGATCCACAAGAGAGGATCGCATTTGCAGGCAGAGAATTACAGAGGCATTATGCTCCTGCCGTCCATTGCCAAGAGGGTGCACGCGTTGATCAGAACGCGACTTATGAACCTTTTGAGCAGGCAGCGACCGCAAGGGCAGAGTGGAGGATTTCCTGCTATGCAGGTGCCGTTTGGATCCCAACTTTTGCGAACCTTTGGGCGTGTGATGGATTCTTTGCAGTTTTCCTCGGCTGTGGTCTTCATTGATCTTGCGAACGCTTTCCACAGATTGGTTCGTGAATTCGTCTCAGGGGTTCATGTGCCGGAAGATGTTGAGGACGTGTTGGAGCGTTTGATGCAAGAAGGCTTGCCTGTTTCAGAGATGATCGACCTCTTGCAGCTTCCGAGTTTGTTGGAGAAGTTGGGGGCACCACCATTCCTGATCCAATTGGTTCAAGACTTGCACACCAATACTTGGATGTATGTACCTGGGGCAGCAAGGCCCATCATCACAAAAAAAGGCACACGCCCTGGATCCCCGCTAGCAGACTGCATCTTCCACATTTTGATGGCCAGTATTGCTGAAGAATTGAATGAGGTTGTTGCAAGCAATCAAGAATTCCAGAACATCATGGAATTTGCTGATTTGCATGTGGAGAGTGTTATCTGGGCCGATGATGTTGCTATCCCAGTTGCCACGTATCAAGCCGATAGTCTGCCGGGAGCAATCGAAAGAATCCTTGTTGCTGTCCACAGAATCTTTGCGAAGAGAGGTTTCACATTGAATTTAGCCAAAGGCAAAACAAGTGTAGTCGCTACGTTCAAAGGGCCAGGTGCTCCTCTCTTGAGAGCACAATACCAACTTGGAGCACGGCCAGGAATGGAAGTCAATTTTGGTGGAAAGCATGAGTTTATTCATTTTATGGCGACCTACAAGCATTTGGGGACCATTTTCAGCTCCAGTCACACCATGGATCAAGAAATTGCCATGCGTATTGGGGCTGCAAAAAGTGCTTTTGCGCAGGTTGCTGCACCCATACTGTGCAACAAGCACATCCCTGAGGCAACCCGCATCAGACTCTTTCGTGCACTGATCGAAAGTAGACTCTTTTTTGGGATGGGGGCGTGGAAAACCCCGACCATTCGTCAACTTGCCAAAATTCAATCGGCCTTACTGACCATGCTTCGTAGGTTATTTCGCTTGACCCCAGCAGAGATTGAGCGTACCCCTGCCTCGAGCCTTTTGCATCGTGCAAGAATTTGTTCACCGCGAGCCCGGCTTGCAGTTGACAGATTGCTATATGCTCAAAGGATGTGGAAACATGGACCAGAAATGCTGCAGCATTGCGTGCATAGAGAAGAGGCCCTCATTGAAGATTCTTGGTTGCTAGGGCTGAAGCATGATCTCGCATGGCTGTGCACCCTCGAACCAGAAGGGACCATGCCTCTTCAGGCAATGAGACAAGCAAAGGATCCCAAATATGGGGACTTGACTGACCTTATTGAGTTCTGGCAAGGTGATTCGGACCAGTGGAAGACTTGTATCAAACGGGCTTGGAGAAAGTTCCACTTCCAAGAATCGATGATGCATGAGCTTATCCATTTGCACAAGGAGTTCTTTCGAACACTGGGAACTGCCAATGCCAGTTTTGAACCATCGCCATTTGACACTGCTGATGCTTTGGTAGGGAACTTCCCATGCAAGTGTGGACGACAGTTCACAACAGCACAAGGACTGGCCACCCACCGAAGGAAGCAGCATCACGAGTTCTCTCTTGAACACGACTTGCTGGAGGGCACCACGTGCCAAGAGTGCTTACGTCATTTTTGGACGAAACAGAGACTCTATCAACACCTTTCATATGTCTCAAGGCGGACTGGCCAAAACGCTTGCTACCAAGCGTTGAGACAACGGGGTTTCCAGGCCGATCTTGAACCTGGGAACTTTCACCAACTGCCCATTGAAGTGCGAGGACTTGGAAGGGTTGAGTCACTGCAAGCACAAGGACCACTTCAGCAGTTGCCGGTGAGAGGGAGACGAGAGCAGACTGATATTGACAAGGCTATCCAAAGTCTAGAAGCAGAGTTGGTGATTCCTCTGTCACCAACTGACCCTGATGCAGCTAGATTGCACCTCTGCACTTACCTCACGGATGTTACTGAGGAGTGGTTCCGAAGATTTTGTGCAGAGGGTTTTGATGATGACCTTGCACAGCAGTTGCCGGATTTATGGCTCGCTGTTTTGTTTCAGTTTGAACATGGCACTGATGGCTGGGTTGAACATGAAATTCTTGATTGGGGTCAACGATGTCTGCCAGCCATTTTGGACCAATTCATTGATGGAGTTGCTGAGCGCTTGGTTGATGAAGAATACGCACAGATGATCGAAGATTTTCCGAGAATCCAGACACTGCGCAAGATTAGCCATCTCCGAGCCAAACAAAATAACCTGAGTAAGGAGAAAGACCTTCCTTACCCACATCGTGAACCACACCAAGGGACAGCGAACCCCAGAGAACGGGCTGTGACGGCAGCGCATTTTGCAGGAGTTTTTGAGGAACAAGAGAAGTTCTTCAATCAGGTCGGCAATGCAAGATGGTTCGACCTACCTGTAGCAGCATATCTGCCATTTTTGCGGCACCCAACTGAGACGCGTGTATATGTGATTGCACACCTTTTCAGTGGTAGGCGAAGGGCAGGAGACGTGCACGAGAGATTGCATTTTTGGGCCCAAAAAGCTGGCTTGAAGATCCTGGTTTTATCCTTGGACACTGCAAATTCAGTGACTTTTGGAGACTTACATCATGAGGCAATTTCTTGGAAAAACCTGCTTCGTCTCTACCAGCAGGGGCGCATATCAGCCACGATCACAGGGGCACCATGCGAGACATGGTCAGCAGCCAGACACCACATCATCCCGAATGAGGAGGCGAATGTAGGGAAGCGATACCCAAGGCCCCTACGAGACCGACAGAGACTGTTTGGAAGACCGTACCTTACCTTCAAAGAGTTGAAGCAATTGAAGCAGGGAACACTGTTTTTCATGCAGATGCTTATGTCAGTCGCTTGGACGCTGGTGACGGGTGGGGTGTACCTGAGCGAGCACCCTGCTCCGCCACAACACCCTGAAGCGGCCAGTATCTGGCTCACTCCATGGATCCGTCTGTTGTGCATGCATCCTGATGTGACCCTTCACATAGTGGCGCAATGGAAATGGGGATGCTCTGTGAGCAAGCCAACTGGACTCCTTGCGGTACGACTCCCACGATTCGCAGCATCAATGTACAGTAGGCAGGTTGCAGATGCACAGAAGCCATCAGACACTGCCATAGGGGTAGGACACGATGGACAATTCAAGACGGCGGCACATAAAGAGTATCCGCCGCAGTTTTGTGATGCCCTGGCTGGTACAGTCATTGACCAAATCCAATTTTGCCAGCGGCGAGACATGTGTACAGAAGTAGCAGGCGATTTGGAGCCGGACCTTCTAGCCTGGCTAACTGAGGCAGCAGTACAGTGTGGCAAGATCAGGGAAACCGCCACTTGGCTGCCGGACTTCCAGGCACGATGAGATTTTCCTAATTAAGGGATACTACAAGTGTTCCATTGCACAGGCAGCAAGGACCGACCTTTCAAGCCTCGAATGAAATTTCACTAATATTCAAAATGATTCCCGAAAATGTCATGTTTTTGCTACTTACAATGGCAGCAACAGTTCCTATCATTATCATATACCATTACATTTGATATATCATTTGATGATATATTCACCATTCTCATTTTGATTGTTGTCAATAAACATCTGTCCATATCATTTTATCATTACCAGGTAGTGGCCGGCACGTGCCGGGGCGGAAGTTTCGACATTTAAAACCGCTATAGGAAGAAGATTGGCTATAGGACAGTTTTTGAGATGCAGAAGCAACGAAGTGTTGAAGTTGTCAGGTGTAGCAACGAATGAGCAAATGGTTGTTGAGATGCCAATGAGATGACATGAAAGAATCCATGTACAGCTGACTGAATGAACCGATGAACCACTGAATTGATGAATCAATGAATCAATGAACCAACGAATCGATGAATCAGTGAATGCATGAAGGAACGAAGCAATGAACCAATGAATCAGACAATGAATGAGTCAATCAACGAATCAAGGAATCAGTGAATCAATGAAGCAAGGAAGCAATGAACCAATGCTTCAACGAATCAATGATTCATAGGCTTAATCGATAAATAGTATGAATGTGTTGCTGCAAGGATTGACCTTTGACGCCATGAAATGAAAAACAATAGTTATCACAATCATCACAATCAGTATACTATAAATTTCGATCATTATATACATCATCATCACTATGAGTTGCATAATTTTCATCAAAGTACCGTGGCATTTTACCAAAATCACGTTTTTTTTTTTTTTTATAAATTTGTTTTTATTTTTCTATTGACCAAATTTTCAACGAATATTTTTCGTATGAAATCATCGAGGCGATCGGAGTTTGTCGGTCTTCGCTCTGGACGTGTCGAAGCAGCTGCTGGGTTTGCTGACGCTTCAGCTGCTGGGCACCAGTGAGGCGCTGTCCCAGCTCTTGGCTGAGGCGAAAATCGGGCGAAATCCCGGCGGATCCGGGCAAAATGCTGGGAAATCCCCAAAGAAATGATGAAAAATGGAGGGATATAGCCTGATATAGCTGGGAAAATATGGGAAAACCATCTGTAAATGGACAGCTATATGAAGGTTCAGCCAGGCTGGGGAGATCATCGAAATGGAGGATTTCCCAGGCTGTGAAATTTCCAGCTTTTTGATGGCAAAAAATTTCAGATGTTGGTCCTAAATGAACAGCTTCCATGTGACATCCGATGGTATCCGGTTGATTTTGCAGGCGACGGTGGGAGTTGGCTTTGAGTATTTGCTCTTGCGAAGTTGCAGTCCGCTGATCTTTGAACAGATCGTGCAGAACAAGGCCTGGAATGGGAGGAGTGTGAAAAGCAGTTGTGCCAACTTGGCGCAAGGGGATTCCGAGTCTGAGTCATTAGCAGATACTGACCACCAAAAGCTGGACTTGCCAATGAAGTGACACCATTGTTGTTTCGTTCTTTTCCAGAGGGTCCCTTCGCTGGTGTTGGAGCCTTCCTTGAATATTTTGTACTTTGCTTCCACTAAACTAGACAAAAGCAATTGTTCGAATGACCCTACTTCTCGCAGCATTGACACATAGCCGCTACTGGGGTACTTCCTGATTCACGCGAACAATAGAACAGTCCCAAATGTTTGGACAGACACAAGCAGCAGGCCGCACATGGGACTCGACCCTAGAGTGTCGCTATCAAAAGTGTCGCTTTCAAATGCAAACATAATATACATATATATATATATATTATATTATGTATGTATATATATAGATAGTATGCAGCCTGTTTGCTTTATACAAAGACGCTCTATTTTCAAAAAGTTGCGTGAAGGGTATGTCGTCATAAACGTCCACGATCTAGACCGGCGAAAGGATCATGGCAAATGGGTAAGCTGGTGCACCATGGTGGTGCATGACAGCTCCATCCTGCTTGATTTGGGATTGTAAATTGATCCAGTGTTGTGCCACTACCCCTATCACTAATTTTTGGCCGATTATTTCTATTTTTCGGGTTGCAGCCTGGCTGCTTTTATTAAATCCCATATCAACCAGTCGGTGGATGATCCGTAAGCTTTTTCGGGTAGCATCTTGAAGCCATTTTTAATCTCTTGAACCCCATTTGGGTTTGTCTGAAAATAGTGTACCCCTACACCCAATGATTAATGATCATTATCCCTACTAAATGGCTATAATTGGGGGTATACCCCATTTTCAGACATACCCATTTTGCGGGTACCATTTTGGATCATTTTGGGTGATGGATTCACGAGAAGTACGTCACGTTGGATTCACTGAGCTGGGCAAATCGAGTCGCCGGAACCGCCAACGAAGGACTTGCGCACGGGGGAGTACTTCGAAGGAGAAGAGTTGGATCCTATGAGGTGGGTCATGGCTACACATGTCGCCAACACAATTAAATGTTTGGCAATAATGGTTTATTATTGGGTCATTATTGTTTATTGTTGGAATAGTGTGGTAAACCCAATGATAACCCAATATGCTGGAAGCGAAAGTCATTGCAGTAGGATCGCGAGCAACACTTCACATTGGGACACCGCGCCACGACTAAGTCACGGCAAATTGCCTTTTCACAAGAGACACCGCGTTTTGGCGAGAACATCAAAAAAGCAAGCGCAGGCTCTGGAAGAGGCATTTTGTACTAGGACACCGTGAATCAAAAGGGTCAGCAAGCAAGCAAACAAGTATATAGGCAGACAAGCAAGTAAGCAGCAGATACATACGCGCCATGCAAACACATAGGTAGGTCAGCATGCAAGGAGGTGGGCAGTCAGGCAAGCAGGCAAGCATGCAAGCAGGTCAGGAGGCAAGGAAGTGGACTGTGAGTTAGGCAAGCACACAGCCAAGTCAGGATGCAAGGAGGGCGACATTCAAGCAGGCGGGCCATCAGGATAGCAGCAGCACTACCAACTATCACCAAAGTCACAGCACCAACACAGCAGCGAGGCAATAAAATAAAACAGCAACATAGCCAATCAGTATAGCAGTCAACCAGAAGCAGCAAACGAGCGAAGTAGCAGCAATCCAGCAAACGACGGTATGTAGCAGCAAACCGGCAAGCAAGCAAACAAGCAAGCAGGCAAGCCAGCGCGCCTGGGCAGGCACACAGGCAAGGTCAGGACGCAAAGGGGGACAGTCAGGCAGGCATTCAAAGGCAGCAGGCCATCAAGGAAGCAAGCGGGCAAGCGGCAGAAGCGGCAGCAGATGGATCAGATGGGCTGAGAGAAGGAGAGACAAAGGCGGAGAGCATGCTGCGGTAGAAACCTGCGTACAAGACATGATCTACAGATATCTATAAACTATACAACAAGAGTCGGCAAAGCACCCTTGAATTGCACCTAATTAAATAGATGAATCGATGTGACCCTTCCCAAATACGTTTCCCATAGGTACGGAAACATTTGAAGGAAATCGATGCGACTAAACCGCTTAATTGGTAGTTCCTGTTTTTTTACATATGCCAAAACGCAGACCTGCATGGGACACCGGCTTCGCAACGACTTTCACACTTTAATGGTTTACCATTCCAGTGACCAACCATCGCCTGGTTTATTTTTGAGTTAATTGTTAGGTTTACGGCAGTACATTTGCGGATCTCGCGTCCGGAACCTGATTGAAACTCTTGGGCGTTTAGCTAGGTTTAAGGATTGGTCCAAGATGGAAGAGGAAAGCCTCGCTTTAAAACTGCTCGAGTTCACTTTTCCATTTTTCGGAAAGGTACACCACAACTCCTCCCACAAAATCATTAGGTCCTGAATGGCAGTTATCGCCCATTTCCCAGGTATTTGCACCAACTTTGGATCTGGCTTCTGTGCGTGTGCACATCGCAGTACGCATTGACCTCCCTGCAAATTCCATCGCTTTTTGCGGCGCTGCAATTTCTTTTGGCGCCCTTTGATTGGATCGATCTTGAAGGTCCACGTGAAGGGGTTGGATGAAATGAGTCACATATGGCAGTGTGTCAAAACCTTGTACCCCTGGTGAACATCAAAATAGCTGGTAAATGGATGTTCATCCCCCTAAAAATGTTATTAATCGGTATTGATCCATAGCCATATTGCAACGGATGTCTTGCCCCAAAATGTGTTTTTTCCCCACCTGCCAGATGAGGGTCTCTAGATTTTAACGGAGCAGCTCCTTCCTCTTCCTTCTCCTCCTCCTCGCCTCCTCTGCCAGCTCCGAATGCAGACCATATCGCCAGCTCGGCTGTGGAGGGCGCCTGCCCGAACACGGAGAGAAAGTCAGAAAGACTGCCAGATAGAATGTCAGAACATCTGTCAGACAGAATGCCATAATATAATGTATGCCAGATAGATTGCCAGAAAGAATGACAGAAAGAACGTCAGATGCCAGATAGAATGTCAGTTAGAATGTCAGAGTATATGCCAGATATAATGCCAGAAAGAATGTCAGAATAATATGTTTGGGTGGGGATCATTCGAAGTAAAACATTTTTTCTGAAAAGTCTGATCTTCAGCCAATGATTAAGTGGTCTGGGCCGGTTGGAATTCCAGCACCGCCTAGCAAGATTACTACACAGGAGATCATCTCCCTTCATATTTGCTTAGTCACCAAAATTATAGCTCGTTCATATGTAGGACAACTCCACGAAATAGGAAGTTACTGATCAGGGTCATTGACCACATCAGCCCGCTCATGTTCCACACGTTAGATTCCACCAATCCGCATGGTTCACCTGATTCCACCATTGTTGTCTTCCAGGCCCAGCGATGCTGGCGCTGTGCTGCATCTGCCAGGCCCTTCAGTACCTTCGCTTAAACCATTGACAATTTCACCAGAAATGGGGGTAAGAATCACCCAAGTTTGGAGGACTATTATTTGGTTTACCACACTACCAAACTGGATTCAACACATATATTATATACTGTAATATCCAGCCTGTTGGGGACTAATGTCCGTAACCGCAGAGACGCTGATATGCTGTTACGCCGATTGCTGTGTTTACGCCTGTTTCCGCCGATAAGTTATACTGTTATGTCTTACGCCGATCGGGTGTAATTGCGCCGTTACGCCGATCGTTGTGTTTACGCGGATACGCCGTTACGCCGATCTGCTGAATTACGCCGTTACGCCGATACTCCGTTAAACCGATCGCGGTATTTATGTGGTTACAGTGCCCTATAATAATTTAAAACCAACGTAAACAAACCCTAAATTAAAACCCTACTAAATAAACAACAATCGGTGTATCGGTGTATCGGTCCGAGCGCGGCAATCGGTTTATCGGTGTCCCGGTGCGTGCGCGGCAGTCGGTGTATCGGTGCATCGGTGAGAGCGGTGTATCGGTGCGAAAAACGTTTAGCGGACCCTAATCCCCAACGCCATGGTAACATCATAATTAATCCACTTGCAAGCAACTGAGTTGCCCCTGATTAATCGCATTCTGCCAATGATGCAGAATTTCAGGAGAGTCCGAAATGTTTACTAACGTCGTAAATCCAGGCATGACCCATACCAAATACACATGGTGTATTCGGGTTGTTACGGCTAGCAGCTGAGCCAGGATTTCGCTCGGATTCTGACCAGGGTGCACCATCAAACATGGGACAAGCTCACAGAATTTTCCAGTTGATCCTGATACGTTCTGATTATTTTTTTGTAAAGCCTTCATTTTTGATAGTTGATCCCCGTTGCTTGATAGTTGATATACACATTTTCATTTTCTTGCCGAAATCCAACCATTTTGATGGTTAAGACTTAAAAGACCATGATTTTTTTGCGTCAATCCCCTCAATCCCAGCATTTTTCTAGGGATTTGTAGCTGAACCCTTCTTGATGCTGAAATCCCAAAGTTGAATTAATCCATCATTTTGTAACCCCCCCGACTTTTCCCAATTTTTGTCGGTTACCCACCTCCAAAGCGCCGAAATCAGGTTCCGCCTCACCGACGTGCTGGTCCTGCGCCGCGGGGGTTTGGCGCCCCCGCAGGCCGCGAATCTGCTGCTGTGGGGTGTCTGTGCCACGGTGCAGGCACTGCTGAGAGCCGTCCAGGCGATGTCGGAGGCACCTGGAGACCTAGGAAATGTGGGGAACCACGGAAATGATGGATCTGATCTGTGTATTGATCCTGATGAAACACTATAGTCAATGGATGTCAATGGCCTGGCTCAACACTTAATGGTCATTTAATGGTCTAAGGCTAAGGCCCGAGAAGCATTCGGCACCAGAATGATGACTTTGTCTCCCAACTTTATGGTTGCAAAACCCCAGCGGGTTGGTTCAAACCCCTTTTTTAAAGGACCGAGCTGCCGGCCAATTTATAGGGATCATCCTAGCTCGAGGTAGTGCTGTGCCTTGACAGTAAATCCGATTTTTTGGTTTTCCAATGGTTAAATGACAATCAGCCTCGTAAGTTTAAGTTGACCCTCAACTTTCTGTGCTTTTCTCAACTTCAATTAATTCAAGGGAACATTGACAGGACACCAACCTTTTTGCCAATATATGTGTATATATATATAAATACATATATATATATATACACATGAATTTCAGGGGATTTCCCGCACATTTTCCCCAACCAATTCCAGGCCTCCGAGACGCCGCTGGCGGAACCTCTGCTGGATGTGGAAGGCGGCGCTCCAGGCAGCCCCGGCAGCGCCCGAGCGGCCGTGGAGCGAAGGGCCAAGGAGCGGGAAGCGAAGCAGGCGAAGCTCAAGGCTGGGCACATCCGTCCGGGGAAAAATTCTTGGACCTTAATTGAAACAAAAATGGGTCCGGTAAACCCCCCGCTAGCAGAAACATGGATCAAAACATGGAAAGAAAACACCAAAACAACATTAAAACCATTGCTTCATCCGTGTTTCTGGATAAAACCATCCGTCCAATCATCCATTAAAAGATGTTCTTTTCATTACTTCAACATACTCCAACTGGATATAGCGGTAAATCATCCATATTACTTGGATCAAAATGAATCAAGGTTCCATTTTTACCATTGGGCATCAAAATGCCAAGGCAACTCCCAAAATAGAAAAGCAACGTCCTACTCAGGTGGTTTTAGAAGATTTGAATTACTTAAAATGACTTCAATATACTCAAATCTACTTAAATGATCTTAAATCAACTTGAATTCTTAGAATTACACTGAAATGACTGAAACAAACTTGGTCCCAGGCGCCACCCACCAGCACCGCTCCTCAGCTCCCACCTGTATCTGCGACGCCTGCGCGACTCGACGCGGCGAGTCAAGTACCTCAGCGACGGGATCGTAGCCCATCTCCAAAGAAGCCCAAGTCAGGCGCTGAATTGCGATGATTTTGAAAGATGTCTACATTGTCCACATGTTTTTTGAGGATTTTGGCGATTCTTGGGGATTTCCAAGGATGATAAAATGGGGGATTCTTGGAGATTTCTGAAGATTTTGAAGACCACTTTCCGGATTTCCATCCGCAGAATTTGGATGTTGCTGTGCAGAGTGACATGGAACCCCTGAAAGTGAGGTTGGAATGGTTGGAATGGTTGGAACATTAGTTTTCTATATGGGTAGTATTAGGATTTTCGGATTGCATGTTGGATTTTCATGGATTTTCAAAGCTGGGATCTGGCAGTTGAGGATGGTCTTTTTGTCATACCTCGCCACGTTGGGATCGTTGGTTTGGTCATGCAATGAAAATTCGAAAATGCCACGTACAGCTGGATGAATAGTTCCCTGATATCTGAAGATTCTGAAGCCTGCAATGAGCATGGCATGGTTTTTCTATGTTTTTCTCATCTTGTACCCTGGCTTTTTCGCCAGCTGAGCATGGCTGGTTTTTCCAGGGCATCGTGTGCAGGTGGGACTTGGACACGAGATGCTGAGGGAAGGCAACGTGGAAAGGTGCCCAACGTGAATGTGCAAGTGCAAAGCCTCAAAGGCACCTTGGTTTCTCCGAGAGGATGCATTGGGTACGATCTTCTGTTGCACAAACCATTTTTGTAAATGTTGAGTTCCTGGAAGTCTTTGTCTCTTTGCTGATTTGTGCCAAGCACATATTTTCCTTCAAGTCATTTGCGGATGAACATTTATAGATATTTTAGTGCAAAACTAAAGACAGACTCATCCACTGATAACTCGTTTTATCTCGTTGTCGTTGCTGGCAGGAATGATTGCGGAGCGAGACTCCGATCTGAAAGAACTCCATGAGAACTTGGACGAACTTCTGAAAGACTTCAGTGGGGTCGCTGGAATCTTGGTGGACGATCCCCCTGGTTGACGGAGTGATGTCTTCAAGCCGTACGGCGATGATGACGATGATGACGATGATGATGATGATGATGATGATGATTGATGTTACTAAATGGATAGATGGATAGACTTTGGGGAGTATCTGCATAGATTTCATCTCTATGTCTGAATTTCCATCTCTTCCCCTTCAGAATTCTCATTTTCCAATGACTTTCTTGATATATCTTGAATTACGTTTACATAACAATGGAAAATCACCATTTTCAATGGGTAAATCCACTATGTCTATGGTCATTTTCAATAGCTAACCGTGAAATTACCAATTATTACCAATTTATAGTTGATTTACCCATAGTATCTTGATATTTTCCCGAGATCTCCCCTTTTTTCAGCCATCCTTGGGGCCGCCGCAGGCTTGGAGGCCCTGAGTCCCTTGCCGTCCTTCAGCCCCACCGAGACGGTGACGTCGCCGCCGGGCGATGCCTCGGGAAGGAGTTCGCCCAGCTTCCACAGCGCCGCGAAACGTTGGGACGTTGCTACCCCCAAAGTGATGGATTATATATGTATGTGATGTACATATATATATATGTGATGGATATAATTATATATATATATATATATATGTTTATTATTGTTTATACTAATTTTACATGAAACATCCGAAAATAACATGGATGATTTGGGGGTACCCATATTTTAAAAGATCCATAAACATAGGGGGAACATCTCATGGAACATGGTTGATGACTGGACCAAGTGGCGAGATGATTGTGGGAGGATTCAGACCTTTGAAGGTGTTCAAGAAAAACAAATCCGAAACTATTCTCTGGTAAACAAACATAGCAATGAAACAAATCCTCCACTTGCAGATGCTTTGTCTGCTCAAAGTGGGGATTTCCTTTGTCTCTTCCATTCTGAATGTTGCGGACAATCGTTTCCGCAGCTTGGTGCGAATCGCACTGAGGTGATCGTGGCTTTTCCGTGGGTTTCCCCGGTCCACCGGCAACGTGGGCTCCATATTCATCGTGTCCATCGAATGGCTGGATGCCGGACGCACGCCCGGTGAGCGTCTGGGGGAGTGTGCCGCGGAGCAGAGAGAGTCAGAACGAAACTTGCTATGGGAAATTATGAGATCGTCATTGGCTTGGTCCAGCTTGTTTGGTAAAACCTACAGGAAACCATGGTTTCTACTAGTTACTTGTATTGGGGGTTCCTGTACATTGTCTCATCATCCAATTCAGGAATATGAACTATAAAATATGGGAAATGAATCATGAACCATGAAAGTTTCTGTTCTTAAAAGAAACAAAAATGGTGAAGGGAAATCCAGTTTGGTTGTCTTTGATTGATATGGCTATGCACATTAGGCTAGCTGTTACCTGCAATATGGTATCAAAGGGTTTGACCCACTCCCATGGCCCTATGGACTTTCTTTCCAACTTGAAACTTTTTTTGGTCGAATTGATGGTAGAGTTTCCAAAAAATCATCTGTGCTGTATCCTCACGGTGAGGATAGCACCCCACCTGAGATATGGGAGGCATCGGAACTGCTCAACAGCCCAATTTTTTTTTGATCGACAAAGGCGGAAACTGGTGAGACCGAGAGCGAACAGCTTCATCGACGCTCCAGTGGACAGCATGATCGACGCTCCAGACGTTACGATGTGCTGGACAAGATGCTCATCTGGGTATGGGTCAGTGAGTATAATTGATGCCTTATCAGCAGTGACCAATGTTTATTGGTATGGTTCGCCAGAGGCTTGATTTCGACTATCCGTTTTTGAAGTCACATCTTTCTGCGAACGTCTTTGGAGCTTTAAAAGACATGCACGTGTACCAGACTCCTTGATTCGAGAATGGAAGGTTCCTTTCGAATCTCGCAGCATGCGTGAAACTGCAGTCAGATTTGATCAACTTTGTAGCTTCGTCACAAATATCGAGAAATTCTACAGACTTTCATAGACTTTCATAGACTTTCTACATCTCAAAATCTTCCGAGATTTCGGCGTTTCCAAGGAAGATCGATTCGCTCCTCACGGCCCTGGGCGCCGCTCCCGCCGCTGCGCCACGGGACCCGGTGGCGCCGCAGGCGCCGCAGGCGCCGCAGGCGCCGGCGCCGCACTTCGGGGCCAGCGAGGTCCCAGCGGTCCCGGCTGCCCCGGTGGCGTCCATCGACCACCGAATCGAGGTCCTGCAGAACAAGAGCCTGTGAAAAATGGTGGAAGCATCATGATTGTCATGATCATGGTTCATGATTTGAATGGATTTGACATATTAGTTCAGTTATATTATATATATATATTATATAGATATGATATGTATATACATATATATATATATATTATAAATATGTATACACATGCATGATTTTGATTAACAATTCTAATTTGGAGATCGTTACATAAGCCCCACAATCAAACGCGGGATTTACCTCTAGAGAAAAATGGGAGAGTTTGCTCTGAGTCTTGGCGGGAATTACACAATTGACCAGATGAACTGCCATAAAATCATCATGCCTAGTGATCTTTAGCGCAGCCCAGAGAGACAAAAACATCAACGGGGAAAGAACCCAACGCTAACGACAGCTGAAACAAGTAAAACACGTACCAGTGGTGAAAAAAGTGGCGAACTCACTTCCAGTGCAGTATAGATTCAAATCTTGTGGACTGCGCCAAACATGGACGTGTCATTTGATCATGTTGATCTAGCTGTTTCCAATAATAGAATTGGATGGAAACGTATGATTCGAAGATCTAGCGATTAGGAAAAGGGAAAGTCTGTTCAGCAGAGACACCTTTGCCAAGGATGGACCAGCTATTTCAATTGCGAGATCAGCATGCAGTTCCGAAGTGAAAGTAGCATGTGACAAGGGGCCGCAAGTGGCCGTCTCATCCGGGGATGGAAGATGGACTTGCTGTTTGGTGTTGTTCTCTGTTCAGCGTAGTCGGCCCCAAACTTCATTGTTTGACAAAGTTTTCACAATCTCTGGTGCAAAAGTGTAGACAGAACTGCACAGGAAAATAAAAGACGCGCTTCAATGCATTTGATTAACATGCTTTCAAGGGATGAGTTCATTGTGCCCATGATCTAACACTTGTCATCCCGATTTTCCGCAGTTTCAGGACCGAATTTTTCCTCTTTCAGTTCATGGTTGGTCCTAGTTTGATGTTTTAGATGCTAATTACCATCTGGTAAATAAACATAGACCCTGAAAATCACCCATTTTTAATGGAAACTAGTCTTCCAACCCCTATCTACCAGGGTCTATGTTAATTTTCCAGAGGGTAATGTATACTACATGAGTAAACCAGACCCTGGTAGATAGGGGTAGGAAGTCTATGTTAATTTACCAGAGGGTTAATTTACCAGGTGTCCGTTCCAAGACGATTTTCAAAACCAGTGGTTTTTCACAGCCCTGGCTTCATCGCAAGGTGACAGTCGGCCAGCAGAATGTGGGGCAGCTGGGTCGAAGGAGCCAGTGATGCCACGACTCAGGGCTGCAGCTTCGGGTTGTCAATTTTACCCAGATATCAACAGTATATCAACAGTATATGATATACCCTCTAGTAATTTGTTACATAGCTATTGAAAAAGACCATAGAAATAGTGGATGTTCCCATTAATCATGGTGATTTTCCATAGCTATGTTAAATAACCAGAGGGTATATATATATGATATATATGGCAGTGTGTTTCCTTCCAGGATAAATCGGAGAAATCGGAGGGAGGCATGTTCGACTTCGATGACCTGGAGGAGAGCGTTTGACACTTTTTGGCGACGTAGCGATATGATGCAAAGGGGACACTACCCTCTGGTAATTTGTTACATAGCCATGGAAAATCACCATGATTAATGGGAAAATCCACTCTAAATGTGGTATTTTCAATAGCTATGTTAAATTACCAGAGGGTACCATTTTTGCCATTATTTTCATGGCCCAAGAAATCAGCTTCTATTTGATACTAGTAGTCTTGGATTTACTGAGTTTTCCAGCTGACAGGAACAAAAGGCAACTTCCACGGAGGCCTTTTTATTCCCGAGGGTGTCACAGCATGAAGAACATCAGTCACAGGGGTCCATAGGGGTCTCCATATATTTCCTCATTTTTTTGATGAAATCAACATCAGCATCAGCTTTTGGTGGTTTGATCATGGGTTTAAGGATCAACTTCCGCAAAATTCTGATGCTAAGTGTAGGAAATCAACATCGGCTCACAAAAAAAGAGGCTGACAAGAGAACAAGGATGAAAGATCTGATCCCTTTTGTTGTCAGCATTGTGATGGCGTGATGGAGCATCGCACTGTGATGCAATATGGCCATGGGCAACTACATCCAATTGCCAGTCCTTAGTGAGGGATCTTGGTTGGATATCCGTGTTTTTTTTTCTCCATGTGGAAGTCAACTTCCCACGATCTCAGGGTGTGTCCCGGAGGGTGGAGGTGGCATTCCAACATGGAGGCGGGGGCTGTCCCTCCAATGTCCTTTCGCGTTGTGGAAACTCATTTCCAGCTTCGAAGGCCATAAGTTTGGGGATCAATGCCCCTTCAATCATCCCATTGATATCCATTGATCATCATGAATCAGATGAATTGGGGTTCCTGAAAATCCTGAACAAATCCATGGCCATATTTCATGCTTTAACCATCCCATCATAGCCATCATGGCCTTTTTTTCGGGTGAAATCCGGGTGAAATCCGGTTGAAATCCGGGTGAAATCCGGGTGAAATCCGACGCCTCTGATTTCACCGTGGATTTCATCGCCCACCGGTTAAATCAATTGTAAATCACAGCGAAAACCTGGGGATTTACAATTGGTAATTGGTAAATTAATTGTAAATCAATTGTAATTGGTAATTGTAAATCCCCAATCAGTTTTGATTTGGTAAATTTCTGGTAAATCATGATCCCATAGCCCAGCGAGAATGTGTCAAATGGCAGCGGTGTGCACAGCCCGATATTTGACAACGATCCCCATGACCATATTTGATTCCTCCAACGCACGTCTCATCATGAATCTTTGTGGCTTCCTTCTGAACCTGAGAACCAACAAGTGACAACAAGTGACAGGTGATCTTTGATGGTGAATCACTAGAGGCTTAACCCATACCTGAATATACCTGCAGAACTATCGTTTTTGGTAGAAGCTTTATAAAATTGGCGAATTCCCAGGACGTTTCTTTGGAGTTTTGCGACGGGACAACTGGTCTCAGGTGAGAAGTGGCTTCGAGAATACCAGGTGGGAGCGGAGCATGCGGAGCGCCTGCGCGTCATGGCCTTGTGGAGAATTGGGGTATATATATATATGACATATATAATTAATTATATATAATAATATATATATATATATAATAACATATATATATATATACACATGGTATAGTGGTATACACCAGGCCATTTTTATCCAATGAGGATCCAATGATGAACCATGGGACTTTGTGGGGGTACAAAAAATCGACAAACCCACACGATGGCATGCGATGTAACCCGATGTGGCCGTGGAGGTGGGTGCCGATGCGACTGTGCTTGACTTGAAGAAGCAGATTGGTGAGGCAATCGATGCAGAGGAAAAGACTTCGCAGATCTATACTATACTGACTATGCATGGATATAGGTCAAAATTAGGTCCTGAATCTGGATGGTTTACTCAAACAACATCAAACAACCAGTAAATCCGTGGGTTCGGGGACATTTACGTAATTTTACTCAAAGTAAGCGTGCATCAGACTGCGACTATGACCATCCCCCAGAGGGTGTCATGTTGAGTTGTCCATGACCATCCCCCATGGTGTCTGCTTCCGCCATGACATGTCACCAATGCGTGGGTATCGACCTCATTGACTCCTCCAAAACGATCAGCCTTTTGTAGGTCCAATTTAAGGCTCTGAATTAAAATGGCCTAAATCCTCTTTCTTGCCTAGTTCGGTCAGTATCTCCAATGGGTTAACCATAGCTTTAACTCCTAATTTGGCTTTTAAGCATTCCTCGCCAACCAAGGTTTAACCGCAATCTCCAATGAACCATTGATTTTGGGTCCCATTCGCCAGGTGGCAAAGATCCAGTTCTGTCGCTTCGGGCGACCATTGGATGACGATGAGCAGCTGAGAAAGGACAGCGGTGGATCTGCGTCCTGTGAGAATTTTGCTGAGAATCTGCAAGTTCCGATTTTCATGTTTCTTTCCATCCTTTCCGAACATTTCCGACAGTTTCAAACCATCTTTTCCCAGCCCTGGTTCGTTCATGTTGTCTCTAAGAACCACCCCCATTGTTCTGACCATTCGCCGGTGGAGTTCATGCCATCTCAGGAGGATCGGCTCGACTTCTCGTGAGACTTCTCAGTTGTGGCACTGAATCATGACATTTTCCATATCTAACTGGCCATAAATGGGATATAAATGGGATATCCCACATGTTCAGACCCATACACTGTATACACCATGGATGTTTTTGTATTTGGCCATCCAATTTTCATGGGTGTACCTGCTTTTGCCATTTCCACATCAGGCTTTAGTTGGTCTTGTGGATCTTCTGGGGGCCAGTTCTGCAGCCAATTGCTTCTGCAGAGTGCAGATTTTGTTTTACCCCCACAATGTGAGTGGATTGAAGATTACTGCGGTGCCAATACATTCAATACTAAAACTAAAAACCACCCAAGTGGTGTAAACGGTGAGACTTCTCGGCTCTGCGCGTTCTCTTGAGGTACTTGGGGAGGAATTTGGAGAGGGTGAGACCTACGAAACCCGAGGCAAGGGTTTTTGTTACCCAGTTGGGTAGACTGGGTCTCAGACGGTCTCAGGGTACCACAGATTTTGATGAAACCTTTGGGGGGATGAACCCATTTGGGAACACTTTTAGTCGGCACAGATGTGGCAGAAGTCGAAGCAGTGTCTCCAGGTTGGACATCTACTGTAACCCTAAACCCTCTGCATGGGAAAAACATCACCAGATTACTTGCTTAAGATCCAAAGGTTTATTGTTGAAATCCAAAAAAACTCATTGTTCTCCGGTCGTCCCTCATCCTTTCATTTCAAGCACCTGAATGGATGGAAGGCTCCACCAACATGGAATGGAGATGAGGAGGCTGAGAAAAAAAGTGGATTTGGATATTTGGGAGCAGAGCTGTAGATGTTTGCATTTTTAAATGGAGTTTCCTGGTTGAGTTCAAGATTTTGTCTTTGTTGAGAAGCTTCTGGCTGAATTGAATGACTGCCCGTTGCAATAAGTGCGGGCGCGGTGATCCACATTCGAGAGCGGTCTGCTGCTCCCCTTCGGTCAAGCGAGAGGCAGTGTGGGGTCTCTTGTTGGTGTAATTTTTTGTGCGCGCGTTGCTTTGTGTGCTTCAGAGAGCGTAAATGCATTGCAGGGCGTTGAGTACGGTGTGACGGATTGGATGAGGATGATGCAGCTGAAGGTGATTAAGATGACGATGAAGATGATGCTCATGTTGATGATGATGGTGATAATGGCGACGGATGCCTACATCAGATGAATCACTCTATACCCATAGCTGGAGACACTTTCAACTCTCCGACTTCCGTGCTAGTTTCTCGTTGTCCGCAAACCATCTACTTACAGCCAGAAGCTTGCACGCGCGAAAGTATTCACGTGCAGGTCACTGTTCCACGCACACACATCTACTTTTACACATAGAAGGAAGCTTGTACGCACACACGCTTTAACACAGACAAGGTTTTACATACACAGAGTAGCCTTTACACAGGAAAGCTCCAGCACGGCATGCACACAGATGCCCCTAGGGAGAGAAACTTTTTTGTAGGGAAATCTAAAAAATTGAGGCAGCGTAGCTTGTTGGTCTAAATTTTCCCAACCTGTATCTTTTCTTTGCGCTGCTCTGCCTTACAGAAGGGTTGCACGATCTCCGGACGCCTCCGGTCTGCCCCAGCGGGCTTCGGACTGATGGTCTGCAGTCACATCATCATGTCAACCTTATAATCATCATGTAAACCCCATCAACAAGTAGCCGAGAAATTGGAGAGCCCGGAAGCGCGCGACCTCACAGGTGAA